TGTATTATTGGCTTGCAAGTTAATAATTTTACTTATTTGAATCCGTATTCATGCAATTTTTAATTTGACCTTTTTGTTAAGCATGTGATTCATTCATCAAAAAGAAAAGAATGACAAAATTGAAAAGTGGAACAAGGGAGACACCACGAATAACCATATTATTGATGAATCCGTCCCACCAAAAATCATTCGGATGATATACATGTTTAATTAATCAATAACACGAAATCAAACAGACCTAGAAAAAAACATTATTATACGATGGTCCATGCAGTGTTAATTGTTTCTTTCGGACTTTTTTGTATTTTAATATACATTGTTGTATGCCATTAATCAATTAATAAATTTTGGTCAAATCTGTGAAAATGAATTTGCCAGCTAATGCCCCTTTGATGCTGGGTAAACTAGTTTGAAATCACAGTGCAATGCTACGCAATTTCATGCAGAGCTGAGGAAAAAGATGATTGAACTAGAGGCTCTAAAGAGCCTGTGTCGCTCACCTTGGTCTATGTTCATACTAAACAAAGGACATACATAATAGATGAGAATAGAATTCATGACAAAATTATGTTTTGGTGATGATGATGTGTTTGTAGATCTTACTTTACTGAACATTCTTGCTGTTTCGATTTTCTCTATCCATAATGAACTTGGCTCAGTAGTTTCAAAGGAAAATATTTTGTAAAAGTTTACAAAAATTTACATCATTTACGAAAATTGTTTGAAATTTACTATAAAAAGCAATAACTCCTTATTGACCGTTTTGGTCAAGTTGACTTATTTGTAGATCTTACTTTGCTATACATAATTGCTGTTTACAGTTTATCTTTATCTAAGATAATATTGAAGATAATAACCAAAAACTGCAAAATTTTCTTAAAATTACCAATTCAGGGGCAGGAACCCAACAACGGGTTGCCTGATTTGTCTGAAAATTTCAGGGCAGTTAGATCTTGACTTAATGAGCATATTTTACTGAATGAGATTTGCTCTAAATGCTTTGAATTCAGAGATATTAGCCAAAAATTGCATTTTACCCCTATATACTATTTTTAGCCATGTCGGCCATCTTGGTTCGTGGACGGGGTCATTGGACACATTTTTAAAACTACATACTCTTAAGATGATGGTTGCCAAGTTTGGTTAAATTTGTCAAAGAAGTTTTAGAGGAGAACATTTTTTTTAAAGATTACTAAAATTTTAGAAAAATGGTTAAAAATTGACTATAAAGGGCAATAACTCCTTAAGGGGTCAACTGACAATTTTGGTCATGTTAACTTATTTGTAGATCTTACTTTGCTGAACATTATTGCTGTTTTCAGTTTACCTCTATCTATAATAATATTCAAGATTATAACCAAAAACTGCAAAATTTCCTTAAAATTACTAAATCGGGGGCAGCAACCCAACGGGTTGTCTGATTTGTCTGAGAATTTCAGGGCAGATAGATCTTGACCTGATTAACAATTTTACTCGGTCAGATTTGCTCTAAATGCTTTGGTTTCAGAGATATAAGCCAAAATCTACATTTTACCCCTATGTTATATTTTTAGCCATGGCGGCCATCTTGGTTAGTTGGCCGGGTCATCGCACATATTTTTAAAACTAGATACCCCAATGATAATTGTGGCCAAGTTTGGTCAAATTTGGCCCAGTAGTTTCAGAGGAGAAGATTTTTGTAAAAGTTTACGGACGACGGACGCAGGACGCATGACGCCGGACGACGGACGACAGACGCCAAGTGATGAGAAAAGCTCACTTGGTCCTTTGGGCCAGGTGAGCTAAAAATATAGGGTTTTACACTACTGTTGTGGAATACTGACCCGAGTAGTGTACGAACAAACCGGGTGCTATATACCAAATATAATATGAAGCCAGAGAGAATGATTCTCACTAGAAAATCACTTTATCATACGAACCCGGGAACTCGATGTTACCAATATAACCGACTGAGCTAAAATTGTACTTCCCTAGTTCATTATTTAAAATTAGTAGGACAGTATTTCGAGACATATTCATTTTAAAGTCAAGTTTCTGACTTGTGTTACAAACGATCCTCTTCTAAATAACATACTGGAACAAGATACAAAAAAATCACAATCAATTTTAAAACTTTTTTATTTCCCTTTTTAAGCGAACTATGCTACTTCAAGGTATTTAAGATTATCCAATTCATTTAAAAAAAACATTACCCCCACATAGAATCAATTACCCTTGCCTTATACTTATTTCATAACGGACATCTAATTTGGTATGTCTCGGAAAGTACAAAAGATACATATATATTTTGTTCTATATTTATATTATAGAGAAAGTCCAAATAACTGTCCATTCCTTGGAAATAATGGAGCGACAAACAAGGATTTGAAATAATTGTCTTTTAAGGACACCGTATCCATTCTAAATGTAATAAATGTTGTCGTAAAATTGACTGCTTTTTTTATTTCAAAATACAGGAATAAAACAAAAGTTTAAACAACTATATGTATGGTATATAAATGTTAAATAACAGATAATGAATGAATACATTTGTAGGGCAATTCGGCTGATCTGCATAACAATTTCGATAAACAATATAAAAAAAGAGATGTGGTATGACTGTCAATGACACCAATGTCTATACAGACTAATGTACAAAGATGTGAATAATTTCAGGTCACCGCACGGCCTTCAACAATAAGCAAAACATATACTGTACACTTTAAAATGCCCCAGCATGACAAATGTGAGACTACACTTAGGATAAAACTAACGGCTTAAAAGTCAATAACGGTCTGAAGATAATCATTCTTTCGAATGTGAACAACTTTAAAGAAAATCATACATACAGGATACATGCTTTTGGTGATTATGAATTTCACTGAAGACATCACAAATCTGTGTCCTTAATTTTCTCAAATCAGTTAACCTATCATGAAGTCATACCCTGTTCTTTATTGCGTCACAATTGTGTCTCTCATGTGTTCACGTGACTCAAATGTTTCACGTGCCCGAAAGTTACTTTAACTAGATCACTGTCCCAACGCTTTTAAATGTTCCATCAAATATGTAACGAAGTTTTGATGACCATAAGGCCCACAAATTTCATTTTATTTTGTGACTAGACACATATCTGAGGAAAGGACACAGACTTGAGGATGGACAAATATTTGAGTTGTAATAGTCAAAGCTATGTTTAGCCATAAATATTTGTCCTTTTATCAAATTCATGCCTATCCTAAATTGCTCAATAGAAGTCACAAATCTATATACCAAAATTTAAAACGAACCTTACCTAAAACAGGTGATTCCAGGTGCTCAGGAGTAATAATAGATCTTTTGCTAACTAAATTCGTGTTTTAAACGTGCATGATGCAAACAGAATTCATTAACACACCGAATGAGGTTCAACTTTGTAAAATGTATTACATTTTTTTTTAAATAAGAAATAGCAGTACCATCTGTTCTGTATTCAAATGCAAGGGGTTGATAGCAATTTTGCCACTGATTTGAGAGCAAGGTCATTATTGCATTTCGACACTTAACAAAATAAGTACGAATAAGAAAAAAAAATATTTTACAGGATACACTTTCATATTCCTTTTCACACTTTTCTTGTCACTCTTTCAATAATGAGAAATTATATTCTGTCTGATATTGACAACAATTGATATGCTATCTAAAAATAGAAAAGCCAAAAAAAAACTTTCTGTAGATAGCGGTATTTTTGGCAATTGTAAGAGCTCCAATAAAAGGCTGTTTGAAGGCTGTCCCTGAATTGCAGTTTTTCCAGCCCAACTATAAACGAATTTTGGTTTATTATAGGCATATAAATATTGATCGCCAAAAATAGTTCGCTTTAGCACCAATGTTATCGAGGTTTTTTTTATTCATTTTTTCCCTTAAAAATCTATTAACATATTTACATTTGTTAATAGATACACCAAGTACCGGTATCTTCTGCCGGCCTCGTTAACCTCAGTATTTATGCATAAACATAAGATATGGTAAGTTGTGTTAGTACACAAATTCACATTCATACCGATATACTTTATGCCTTCACCTGATTGATTTTTTTTATTATTTGTGTTTATTTTCTTAACATGTGGAGTGATATGGAATATATCTGACCAACTTGATTAATCATGGAATTTCCATAAACATTTAGTGTGCATGCTTTCCGTTATATTATAATTTTATTCTGTGGTCGATGTTTGAAATTCATGTATGTTTTAATGAATATGCTATCTACAGTGATATCGGCTGCTGATTATTCCAGATCGTTCAGGTGAAGATGATTTCAATTACTAAGTGTTTTTGTCATGTGGATACCTTATATCTCCAATATCATTGTACCAGTAAATGGTAAATTGACAAAAAAAGGAAACTAGTGATATAAAATAATAAGAATTAAAGACAGTCTAAGCTGCATACATTTTACTTCTTTAGGGATTTTTTAAGAATTGCAACCTGCTGTAAATAATGCGTATTTAACCCTTTAATTAATGTTTGTTTTAAAATTATTATATCTTTTTTTTATAAGGTCTGTATTTTTTTTTTTTTTTTACCTTTATCATACAAGAACTAGAAAACTACTTAGGTTTGATTCTTGCAAAATTTAGGAATGTTCATTCTTTAGCATTGACATTGACTAAGAAAGAAACAGCACAGTACAAATGACGACCGGGGAAAACAGAAAGTACAGATAATAAACGTTCGAATAGGATATAATATAGTTGTATGTAATGTGGCTGCATTCAAGTTATTCAATAAGAGCCATTTTAAAAACGTCTCTAATATAAAGGATTACACCACACCACTCAAACTTTAATATTTGAATGACAAATATATAATGATAGCAGTATGAGCTATTTGACTTGATACAATAGTATCTGGTTGACTAATTCATAAAACTAGCTATTGGGAATCTCCAGGGAATAGCAAATGTATAGTATCCACAAATCTTAAGACTGAAATACCTACCAAGAATTTTTTTCAGATTTTTTTATCAGTACACTTACCAATTTCATAACATCCATAGATCTGAATTTGTAAATTGACTGGTTGATATGTGTTCTCTTTGTCCTTTGGTGTGATGCTTATTTGGACTTTGTTGACATTGAGATGTTCGTTATTATAAGCACTTTCAAGTACTTCTATCTGCAAGAAAGAACAGTTGTTTAACCGTATCATAAATACAAATACATATTTTTGAAAAACCTTGTAACCACCAAAGTTTGATTGTTTAACTATTCATCACTCCGCTTTCTCTCTCTCATACAGCCAAAGTTAGGTTCTGCCTTCTTGTTACTCTCACCTTTTTCTTCTACTTTAAACAAGAATAATTAAAGAAATGATTGAAAAAGTCGATTGCTTCTTGGGTATACGTACAAATAGGAAAATAGGAAAATTTCTGATGACTAAGCAGAATGTTAAAAGGAAAATATGATACATGTGATTGTCCATATTTTCAAAAAATATTTGAAAAGAACCTAATAACCATGTACAACTAGATACATAACACCAGTCTTTCAATTTGGTCAATTTGATATCATCGAAATTTCATTGATAAATAAAGGGTTGAATATACTGAACAATCAGTTTGTCAATACTATCATCAAACCAAAATCCACTTGCATGTAGAATTAATAGTCATATTACTGGAAATCCGCCGAGGGTAAGATTAATTTGCAAGTTTTATAAATCTATTAGGGTCTGGATGGTGGGTCTTTCATTTCTGTATTCTTCAATTTTTTAAACCCCTTTTCTCTATTCTTTATGTTTTTGGTCCATTTTTCTCTATTCTTTAGCACTCCTTTATTCTCTATTCCTTATTTTTTTGTCCATTTTTCTCTATTCTTTATACTTTTTGCCCATTGTTCTCTATTCTGCAAACCCCATCCAGACCCTCATCTATTTCTAACGCTGTTTTGTTATTAAAAGAAGTTAAGATAGATATAAAATTTTAATTAACCTTATATAACTGATGTAACTGTTGATATATTTTTCGAAGTTTTGACATCTATATTGTGGATTTATTATCTTTCGTAGTTTACGACTTTTCAAGGATTTTGTTGATAAAGATCAGCCATGAAAATAAGTATTCATATTTGAAAAGTTAACTATCAACAGAGGACACAAATGCTAGTCAACGGAGAATTGCTGGAAATCGGCTTTGAGTAATTTTCTGCACTAACACGAATATATACTTTATTCTCATCACTATATCTATAAAATTCCCATTGGTAATCGTAACTGAATTTCCGTCATTGACGTTAGACTTCGCCATTTAGAACAATAACTGTCCAGCTAATCTATACGGAAGATGTAACAAAATAAAATACATATATCTTTTCTACCGAAAATCCTAACTTTATGATTAATAATTACATATTTGGAACACACTTTCGGCTGTTGTATTTTCGATTGAAAGAGTCATGTTTAATGTAAATTGTAGACGAACGTGTATATGTTGGTATACATAAAACAGAAAAAACATGTATTTAAAAAAACAGTACATTGGACTTCATCAACTATTAAATGACGAGTTTATTATCATCATCCGACTCATAAAACAAACAGACATATAAATCAAGAGAGACAACAACGATGAATACATATAACCTAACTTGGTACAGGCACACATTGTGATGTGGTTAAACGGGTTTTACGTGTGCATGTTCCCTCTTTTTGGCCTATCTTACCTTTATCTTCAATAACTAATATACGCAATAACAAACCCTCCCCATAGGATGTCAACAAACTTGAACAAGAAAATAATTAACGGTACACAATATTGAAGGCATGATCATAAATATGCTGGATATACAAACATCTGTCAATGGTAGCTTAAGCTGCTGGGTTGAAACTGCTTCTCAATAAAAACAAAATTAAAATTATAAACAACACTCCTAACTGGTTCATGAAGTCTCTTTACAAAACTAAACTGAAAATCGACTGTATTTGTTAAAGGCCAGTAGGTAATTTAAATTGCCAGACCATCGGAAGAGAGAACCATTTTTAATGAATAAGTTAGTATATTTCGCCTGTAGCCATTGCTGTTGAAAGATTTCCCGAAATGATTCCTTGTTTTTTTGTGTCTATTAGAGACATTTTGATAAAAGGAAGTATTAGAAATACCGTCTAATATTATTTTCTCAAGTGACATAATATTTTTAAAGATAAAATGCTGATACCGTCTGTAAAAGTATTCAAAAGTCCATGATATCAATAACACTTTAAACATAACTTTCGTGTTTATACAATGTTCTATTCATTAAAATCAGCTTCATTTGAACAAATCGCGCAATATGTTACCCCCGGTTTTTGTTAGGGTTCATATTGCTCAGTCTTAAGTTTTCTATGTTGTGTTTTGAATACTGTTGTTGGTATTTTGGTCGTTTTCCTTTTTTGCAAGGAGTTGTCAGCTTGTATTCTACTTATGAGTTTGAATGTCCCTTTGGTATCTTTCATCTCTCTGTGTTAAATTTACATGCCATAAAATGCGGAAAGAGGAGCAGCACCGTTTAAAAAAGAAAGGTTTGTGATGGGGAAAAATATCAGTTTCAATTATTCCATTTTGTACCAATACAGTTAGGTCTAAAAATTTAATCATTCTTCCTGGTTCAATTTCTCATTTTAGAAACAAAAAAGTGCATGTCACCTCAAACGATGAAAGAGCTCTCCCATTTCCAAAGTGTGACTTTCACGTATTTGTATAAATGTCTTTTAGGTCACATGACATTCAGGAACTTCACATTTATAGTCCCTTTATAGATGATTGGTGAACAATATAACCAGTCTCCGTTTGTCACACAACTGCTACGGATGAAAAACAATCCTGTATCAGAAACCCTTTCCGGGACTGTGTTTGAGGTAATGGCGAGTTTTGTACAAAGGTTTATGCTTCCAGCTTACTTACTGCCTTCTAAAGAATGTTACCTAAACCCTCTTTGTATAAACAACCATCATTTTATCTTCTTAGTTTTCCATTCGACTGCAACACATTTCTTGAAATATCTCTTTCGTTCTGTACGATGAATAAGCACGAACTGGCTCCTCGATGTAAACATGTGTGAGACAATATGCGGGGATGTTCTTCAGAACATTGATTTCATGTGTAACAAAATCACTTAAGTCGCAACACATATTATGTTTACTGGAGATCAGGTGTTGTATGTTATTAAGTATAACCATTTCTTATTGGCAAACGGTTTACCGTTGCAATAACTATTTATAAAGATAAACATCAGTTTTCTAATTTAGTCTTCGAAAGTGTCAAAATTTCCTTTTTTGTGGTAGAACATATTTAAATGATTTACAATGCACTATTTGTTTATCTTTGTTGATGGAAAAAGATTAAAATAAGCCTTTTTTTATTTTATCACTAGCAAAGTCAACAATAAAGTGCATTTTATTTTCCTTTGATCAATTCAAGTAAATAGCACCCGAAATGCAAAAAAAATACCTATAATCATGAAACTAATTTAAAATAAGTGAAAAATAATAAATAAGAAATATAAGGAGAGTTTCATATAAGTAAATTATGCATGCAAAATTGTGAAACTAGAGGCTCTCAAGAGCCTGTGTCGCTCACCTGATTCTACTTTGGTTTTGGAAATCATGTTAAAATAGATTAAAATCATAACAGATACCCTAATAATGAGTGAGGTCAAATTTGGTTTAATATTGGCCCAGTAATTTAATAAAAAATCCTGGTGGCCATCTTGAACAGTAAATCAGCAACAAAGTAGCAACACTTCATCAGCACCTCATAAGAAACATTTATGCCATGTTTGGTTTCATTCCATTCAGTGCACCTCTAGAAGAAGCATTTGTATGTATTTCAAATAGGGTCTTATGTTAAAGGAAGTCCCCCCGCTGGTGGCCATCATGGATAAAGGATCAGCTTCAAAGTAACAACACTTAGTCAGCACCTCATAAGGAACATTCATGCCATGTTTGGTTTCAATCCATTCAGTGGTTCTCTAAAAGAAGACATTTACATGTATTGTCCATATGGTCCTTTGTTAAACACTGTCCCAAGTTGGTGGCCAACTTGGATGATGGATCGGCTCCAAAGTAACAACACTTGGTCAGCATAAGGAACATTCATGCCATGTTTGGTTTCATTCCATTCAGTGGTTCTCTAAAAGAAGACATTTGTATGTATTTCCCATAGGGTCCTATGTTAAACTAAGTCCCCCGCTGGCGGCCATCTTGGATGATGGATCGGCTTCAAACTAACAACACTTGGTCAGCCCCTCATAAGAAACATTCATGCCATGTTTGGTGTCATTCCATTCAGTGGTTCTCTAGAAGAAGTTCAAAATGTAAAAGGTTAACGACGACGACGGACGCCAAGTGATGAGAAAAGCTCACTTGCAGGTGAGCTAAAAATTAGGACGACTAAAATGAATTTTAGCTTCGAGCTTTGTCTGCAAGCTTCATGACCTGTTTTCCTGTTGTAAACTTTGATTTATTTGTAACACATCTCCAACAGAACCTGCATATTGATATTACGTCTCAAGTTGATACATTCGGGAACCTGTATTTCACATTAGTAGTCCCTTGATAGACGTTTATTGAACGATGTCACCAGTCTCAATTTCTGACACAATTGTTTTGGATCGCTTAATTTCATACCAATGCAGAGATTGAGTATGTATTAATTGGGATTTTTATACAAAATGTGTTAGCTTGCAGTCTATTGCATTCCATGCACGGTAACCAATGCCACTTTGAATGAGAAAGCCAATTTATATTTTCAGTTTTCTATGTAACTGAATTAGAATTTATACATTTCTTTTATTCCTGTCTACTCTCTGCGAAGACGTAGCAATGCTTTTTTCTTTCAGAACATGGATGTTTTATATGTTCTTCACAATCAATTATGTCGCTTCCATTCGATTAGCAAAAAATGTGTGGATTACTATAGATCGGCTGTGTAGGGTTATTTTGTATATTCCTACTTTCATTCATTTGTAAAAACTCTCAGCAGCATCTGCTTGTTGGTATTACGTCTCAAAGTTGATACGACATTCAGGAACTTGTATTTCACATTAGTAGTCCCTTGATAGACGTTTGTTGAACAATGCTGGCGCTCTCAATTTCTTTCATAAATGCTATGGATCCCGCACAACATATGTATTTTACATCCT